TCACTGCATCCTATCAGGTGGCTCAAGGTTTTGATTTCTGCCATTATTGAGGAGGGTCACTTTGATCCTTTGATTGGGGTGGTAACTGATGGGATCCTCTGTTGCCAAGTTTCTTATTCCCTCTTTGTAATTACTAAGTATTTTAAGGAGAATTTATTTGACACTGTTTAAATGCCTGTTCTCTCTCAAATTTTCAGTATCCCTCAAATTTTTTGTCAGTAGGGACTCAGGGTTTCCTACTTTATTTTGTGTATTATAATCGTTTTTTACCATTATTCTGATCCTCCGATTGTGCCAGGTTATCCAGTGGGAGCTCCTTCTAGCTGGCTTCTGTGTCTTTTTGACACGTGTGTGTTATTCTTTTGGCACTTTCTGGCACAAGATGTTTCAGGATCATTTTTGTGTTTTCCCTGCCCCAGACATGAAAGCAGCCATTTCTGCAAAAGCAGAAATCATTTTCTCAATTTGTCACTGTCAGTGGACAAATCAGGGAACCAGGGAATATATGCATATATTTATGTGTTATGTTCACATTTTATATCATGTATTTATCATTTATATATTATATATTAGAATTCATGTAACTTAAACATTTCTAAATTTATCTATCTATATTGGAAGCTGTGATTTCAAATCAGCATCTCCAGTTCATATTCAACACTCAAGAGTTCATTCTGGTCTCCCCGCTTTCTGTACGCTCTATGGCAAGAGACTTGGTTTCCAACATCCTTAAAATATTTATTTCTGGGCGCCTGGGTGGCTCAGTTGGTTGGGCAACTGCCTTCAGCTCAGGTCATGATCCTGGAGTCTCTGGATCGAGTCCCGCACCGGGCTCCCTGCTCGGCAGGGAGTCTGCTTCTCCCTCTGACCCTCCCCCCTCTCATATGCTCTCTCTCTCTCTCATAAATAAATAAAATCTTAAAAAAAAAAAAAAGATCCATTCTCTCCCCCTCTCTCTCTGCCCCTCCGCCTGCTCTCTCTCTCTCAAATAAATAAATAAATCTTTAATAAATAAATAAATAACCTGTTCAGCAAGAAACAGGGTTGGGGAGAAGGGAGAGGGAAGCATGGACATTTGTAATGATATGAGAAATAGACTTCTGAGTATTGTATGCTATCAAAGAAGGCAAGATATAAAATGGCATGTAGAGCATCATATAAGCCACGTAAAAAGCTCAGAAAAAAATATTGGCGCTGTCTCAGACTGAAGAGTGGAGCAAAAATGGAACAAGGTTTGATCACTTATGACACAGGGCTTCCCCGTTAAATTCCATGCACTTTGAGGTTCACCCCATGAGGGAGCCAGAATGCACCCATGGCTACCAGGTGGACTCTGGGACCAGACCACCCACGTGTAGCTCCTGGCATGGCCACTTCCCAGCCAGGTGACCTTGGGCAAGTTAGGTAACCTCTGTGCTTCGGGCTCCTTTATCCATGAAACAGAAATGGTAATAGCACTTACTCCTGCGGTCGCTATGAGGATTGAGTGAGTTCATACACATGAAGCACTTAGAATGGTGCACAAGACATGTTCCCTAAATGTCAGCTGTTCGTATATGGACAGAAAAGTGAAGTTCAGTGATGTCCTCTAAGTTACCTGCCCAAGGTCACATAGTATCATTGGAACCCAGTTGTGCCTGTTCCGAAGGCATGGACGCTTTTTCCCTGGCACTGGGGAAGATGAGGCACGCATCTAGTACAAGACTGACTGAGGCAAGTTCTATAAGCACCTTGTAGGCTCAGAAGAGGAAGGAAGTCAGCAGCTTGGGAATTGGCAGGGAAAGTGAGAATCGAGAAAGATCTAGGACGCTGAGAAAGCTTTGCCTACGTTGTGATGGTGGAGGCCAGGACTTCCAGCGCAGGGGGCAGGCTGAACAAGGGCGGAGCACTGGACCTCCCACACGGGGAGGGTCAGGCATCCGCTCAGCGGGGTCTGCGAGCGCACCTGCCTGGACCCTCCACAAGGTTCCTCCGTCTCAGCACTGTTGACGTTTGGGGCCAGTTAGCGCTTCGTTGTGGGGGCCGGCCGGTGCATTGTAGGACGCAGCAGCATCCTGCTTACACCCCCCGATACCAGCAGCATCACCCCCATCGCTGTGACAGCCGAAAATGTCTCTGGACACTGCCAGATGCCCGCCGGGTGAAGACCCAAACGGCCAAGCCCCACCACCATTCATTTCACTCATTTGCTAATAGGAGCCTGCTTCTTATTCTTGCTCTCCTCGTGGGTGTCATCAGGAGCCGGGGAGATTACACATCAGGCGGAAGGCAGGAAGGAGGTGAGTCCTCTGCAAGCCGCCGGGCCTGTAGCTCAGGGCTCTTTGGGAAGGATTTCTCAGCATATGAAGGTGTGGCCCAACAGCTGGCGGGACGCGCAGTCCCAGGTCGGGGGATTTGTTATTGCAGCCAGCAGACCCAGCAAGAACGGTGATGTTCCACAGGGCTGGGGCTACGGAGGAGAGGAGCGGAGGACGACCCCGATGACCCGCACCGGCCAGTGGCCGGGACATCCCCTCTCTGCGCTTCTGGCTTCTCATCAGCAAATGGAGTGTCTGCGGTACATCCAAGATTCCTCCAGGGGAGGGCTTCTCTCTGAGCCCTGTAGAGGGCAGGGAGGGGTGCTTCCCAGCTCCTGGGGAAAGAGTTCTGTGATCCACTAGTCATGTCTGCCAGGGGCACAGTAATAGGGGGATAAGATGTGTCCCCGCACATAGAATGTATCTGTGTCTGTTCTGGAGGATTTAAGTAGAGTCTCTGGGTCTTTGTGAGGGCATGGAGCTGAGGAAAGGAGAAACGGGGCTCTTCTTCCTCCAGCAGCTCTAGAGGTGAAAGGTCCACTCAGATTTTTGTTTTTTGTTTTTGTTTTTGTTTTTGTTTAAATGAGAGCTGCTCGGCAAGTGCACAGCTAAAAATAGTCCCTGCAGGCCTGGGAGACAGGCCACTGCTTCAGGGGTCCCTCAATTCATTGAACAAAGAGAATTGGGCCTGGGTGAGAGGAGAATCCCATCACATCCACCCCCTTTTTTTATCCTCCCCTGTATACATTCTGGAACTGGTAAGAGGATGTGGATTGTTCTGAGAGTAGAAAGGGAAAGGGGAGGGGAGGGGAAGGGTGAAGTTTGGCCAGGGGAAAATACAAGGGGTTTGGAGTGACAGTGCCCAGGCTATGCCACTCACTAGCTGTGTGATCTTGGACATGTTACTCAACCTCTCTGAGCCTTGGGTTCCTCATCTGTGAAATGAGGCCCACTAATCTGTATCTCCCTCAGCACAGATGGCCAGCCTGCTGCGAGCACTCAAGGACAGCCCAGTGTAGGAGAGGACAGGCTGGAATGTTCACACAGGTCTCAAGCACACAGTGTCTCCAACGTGAGCCTTGGAAATGGAACTTAACATGGCAGGCAATGGAGAGCCGTGGACAGTTTTCAAGCCTGGGTGTGAACCAGAACAAATCCCAGGGATCATTCCTCCCCTCCCCAGGCTGGTTTCAACAGACTGGGCACTGGACGTAGGTGACGCAGAACGGGAGAAGGGACTGAGGAGGGCCAGAGAGGAGGCAGGTTCAGAGGAGAACGTGGGAAAGAGGTTAAGTCAATCAGCATCAGCAAGAGTTGGTGGAAGGGCATGGAGCCAGAAGGGCACTGGGGAGAGAGTTTGTTAGGTTTGTCGTCCCGAGGGCTTCAGGGATTAGATAACCTCCAATAAAGGCAGGGTTGCTGAGGGTGTGAACTGGATTTCTTCAATGACCTTCAGAAGAGGAGAAGAAATTTCTTTTAATTTCTTTTTCTCTTCTTTGGGCTGTGCTTTTAAAAATCCTGCTCTCCCCCTGGACGGAGCCGCTTGGGCTGCAGCTTCGGTGGGTTACAGATGCTGACAGCGATTTTCCTCCAAATAGACAAGCCCCAGACAGACTTCTGGCTCTTCCTCAATGCCAGCCGTGCGAGGACCCCACAGTCCCAGTGTTCTGCAGAGTTCTTTTAGCAGACATTGTCAGGGCCCTACTCGATCCCCTTAGCCCTCCCCTCTCCGGTGAGCCTTTGACCGTGCCCCGGGGAGTCTGACCGCATGCCTCCTCTGGCTTCAGGGTTGTGCTGGGTGAGCACAGGGCAGGCCCGCCCCGTGGGGGTTAATGTGGGCCCAGGAGCAGCCCTCTGCCGATGACAAATGGAGGCTGGTAGATAAATTCTCACCCTTTGGGTAGGAAAATTCAAAGAGGTCCCCTAGGCCATCTCCCAGGGGGCCCAGCAGGAATGACCCCAGATGGTCCCTCGATGTTAATAAATCCCAGATGTGCACCACAGTAGCCTGCTCGTAAGCGTGCCCCGTGGTGGCTCCCTGCCTGTCCCATCCTGTCTCACTCCTCCCTCCCCGACTGGCGCTTCTTAGAATCACCTTCCAATGGGCTACTTATACTCGAATCCTGTCTCGGTCTGTTTCTGGCTGAACCCAAAGACAGACATTGCATTCCGCCGACATGGACTTGACCATGACCTGAACTAGAAAGAAAATGTGCCTTCCCCCTTAGCTGTTCCTATATTTCAAACACACCTGCTACCCCCTGCCCCTCCCGCTGGGAGACAAGTCCCAACGCCCCCGGGGCCCAGACACAAGGGTAGCTTCCTCTCCAGGCCCTCCTCCAAGCAGGTCGTGCAGCCCACAGACTGGAGCTTCTCTGGGGGGCTCTGTTCAAACACGACTGTGGCCAACACAATAGGGGAGAGAGGGAGCAGAGCAAAGCTTTTTCAGAGGACTGGAGGCCGGGAACTCGCTGTCTCTGGGAGAAGGGAGTATGCCTGGTGGCTCTGCCTGGCCCGCGGCCAGCTTCCCTCCCCATGCTGGCGCAATCTCAGGGGCAACTTCTTTCTCCCACAGGGGAGTTCTCGTCTTGCACCAATGGCGTTTGAACTGAGAGCATGGGAGGGGCCGAGGCCCCCGGGGGTGCTGGGAGAGCCTCCCTGCTCTGCATCGCAGGCCGGGGCCCCCGGAGAGTTGTGCAAGGCACGCGGGCCGGCTGCTGGGCGTGGAGGACGGCTCCCAGGGCTGAGTGTGCCAGGGTGTGGTGGAGCCGGCCCTCGGGCCTGCGGGCAGGGCGGTGGCACCCAAGATAAGCCAGGGCCTGGCCGGGAGGGTGATCCCGGGCAAGTGTCGCTCAGGCCAGTGGTAAGTCACCTCGTTGGAGCGGGCGCGAGGCGTGGCAGGTGGATGCTGCGTGCTTCCCGGGAGCGCTGAGGGCTCCCCTCCCCGGTGGTGTGGGACTTGTCTCCCAGCGGGAGGGGCAGGGGGTAGCAGGTGTGTTTGAAATATAGGAACAGCTAAGGGGGAAGGCACATTTTGCCTGACCCACTTGCCCTGACATCAGGAGGAGCTCAAGCCGCGGCATCCTGACTGCCACGACTCAGGGCTGGGGCAACATGAGCCGGTCCAGGCATGTGGGCAAGATCCGGAAACGCCTGGAAGAGGTCAAGAGCCAGTGGGTCCGGCCCACCAGGGCCGATTTCAGCGACAATGAGAGTGCCCGGCTGGCCACAGACGCCCTCTTGGATGGGGGTCCTGAGGCCTACCGGCAGGCGCTCACCCAGGAAGGTGAGGTAGACTTCTTGTCCTCGGTGGAGGCCCAGTACATCCAGGCCCAGGCCAAGGAGCCCGCTTGTGCCCTGGAGCCCCCAGGAGGGGCAGAGGCAGGCCCCCGGGGAATGGACTCCCACTCCCTGCACTCAGGCACCTACTTCCCCATGGCCTCTGAGGGCAGCGAGCCGACCCTGTTGCACACCTGGGCCTCAGCCGAGAAGCCCTACCTGAAGGAAAAGTCCAGCGCCACTGTGTACTTCCAGATGGACAAGCATAACAACATCAGAGACCTCATTCGTCGCTGCATCAGCCGGACCAGCCAGGTATCCGTGGTGGGGCCTGTGTTCCTTGGCCATGGGGTGGGGGGAGGAATGGTGCTGGCGGAGGAGGAAGAGGGGGGTGGGTCCTACTCCAAGGCACGGAGTTCAGATGACCGGGTCTGAGGATGGAGTCAGGGATGTTATTCTCTGTCTTGCCCTGGATTGCTGACTTTCTGATCCCACCTGTCACAGTCCCCGTCCAGACCACCCCTACCCATCACTGGAACTCCTGCAGTAGCTTCTTGCCTGCCCCTCGTCTTCCATCTTGACCCCCACCCACCCAGTCTCCCTGTTGTAGTAGAGCACTTATTCTATGCTTCAAATCTAACTTGGTCCCTTCCCTGCTTAGAGCCCTCCATGGCTCCCAATTGCCCACAGTGGGAAGAGCAAAGTCCTTATGGCTCACAACCTCTCCAGCTCCTCTCCCAGCTCCTGCCACTCAGTCCCGAGGGACCTGCAGACTCTCCAGCCCCCCTTGCTCTGTCTTTGGGGCTTTGCATGTGCCGTTCCCTCTGCCTGGGACCCCCTCACCTTCCCTGCTTTTCACCTGACGGAGGCCTACTCCTTCCTCAGGACGCAGCACCCACGTCCCTTTCTCAGGAAAGCTCTCCTGAACTTCCCCCTGGCTAGGCCAGGCGCCTCACCTCTGTGCTTCCAAATGAAGGGGCCAGTCCACTGAGACACACGCTTGTCCCTTGTCCTCTCAGACTCAGCATAGACCTGTCTGCCCACAAATGACTGGGCAGCCCCTGAAACCAGCTGGTGGTCAGACAGAAGACAGAATAGGCAGAGAGAAGGTTTTTCCGCAGAGTATTTACGTTTTAATAGATGACTTTAGAAGAAGAAAAATAGGGGCACCTGGGTGGCTCAGTCGGTTAAGTGTCTGCCTTCGGATCAGGTCATGATCCCAGAGTTCTGGGATCGAGCCCCGCATCCAGCTCCTTGCTCAGAGGGGAGTCTGCTTCTCCTCCCTCTGCCCTTCCACACCACTCATGCTCTTTCTCTCAAATGAATAAATAAGATCTTAAAAAAAAAAAAATATTTCATGACCGGAGCTTGGCCGGTAGAATTTCAGGCACGGTGACGGGCATTTGGTCATCAGTTCTCCCATCCGGTGGCTTCCTGCTGCAGCTGGGGAAGGGGCAGAGGGACTCCAGCAATCCCCCGGCTGAGACCTCCCCTGTCCCCTCCTCCCCACCCAGCGAGGCTTCCCTCCCTCTGTGGCCCTGAGGCCCCTGATATGCTTTGTTTCACCAATCTAGCATGTTACAAATTTAAGACAACACTTAAAATCCTGAAGATTTCACCTGAAGTAAGAAGGTGGCAACCCCCTCTTTGGTGGGTGAGTCCCCTTTGCCACAGTCCCTACCACGCCCTCTTGTCCCAGGCCTTGATGAGCTTCCCCCACTTTGTTTTCTTTCTTTTTTTTTTTTTAAATATTTTATTTCTTTATTTGACAGAGAGACACAGCGAGAGAGAGAGAGAGAGAGAGAGAAAGAGAGGGAGAGCAAGCACAAGCAGGGGGAGCAGCAGAGGGAGAGGGAGAAGCAG